AGGAGAATTACTTAAAATAACTTTAGAAACAAGAAACTACCTGGAAACTTTGACACAGTGCACAAGCACTTCTTTGAGCATGATTTAAGATTTACCACACTCTGTTCGGATCGTTCGAATACATTGTTCTTACTTGAATCTGAATGTTTCGTTTTCATGCATAATCATCCAGCTTTGATCATGTTAAATTTAGAATGGACTACTGTACAAGACAAAGAAAAAAATTTCGGGACTAATAAAATCAATAAAAGAACATGAAATAAGTTTCCGTCGTTTTTGTTAAACAAGGATTTTATTTTGCCCAATGACAAATTACTAAAATCAAATCCAAAACATGTTTCGACTTACTCCTGGCTGTGGTTCTGCTGATCGTTCGAAAGGAAATCCATATTCTGCGACTCGTCCTGATTTTCGTCGTATTCAATTATGTCATCAATTTCTTCGTATCCACTATAAATTACATATGCATCCCTGTAATAAAAATCGAACCTGTTAGTGGAACTCTTTCTAAAGAATTTATATATTCTCACTTCTTAATCGTGTTCTCCAAGTTGCTCCCGAATTCATCTTGATCCTTCGGCTGATCACAACAATTCTCCGGTATGTTTGCATCATCTTCTTGCGACCGAACTTGCGTCTGCACCTCGTGCGAGACCTCGGGCTGTTTCGCAGGCGACCAGTCGTTCATCAAATCTAGTTGAAGTGTTTCAACGTTATGAGGTTGATGCGAGTGCTGAGATCCAGTAGGATCAGTATTTGGACGAAAATAGCTTTCGATTGTTCTTCTGTTCTGGGAAACATGTTGCAATATATGCTGCGTGTAGTTTGATATTATCCAACCCCATGTCCCGTTTTTATTCTCCCTTGAACTCAATATTATAGCTTTTCCGCAGCGGAAGCATAAAACAGAGGCTCTGCGGGATCCACTGATATTAACCGAGAATTTTTCTGATGTCTCCATAGCCTTAGATTTAAACCATGCTAATAGTTTCTGTTCCACTACGGATTTTTGGATTGTTTTGTCGTTGTCTCGGTCGTTGTATTGAGTTTTGACCGAGGTTTTGACCTCAGTTTCGGCGGAAGTATGGCAGTTCTTTAAATTAGCGGATTTCTTTTGCAAAATCTCAGTAGTCTTGCGCTGAAACTAAGCAACCATGTTAATAGTTCAGCAGCAAAAATTTAATAATTAAAAGCAATAGTTTAAAGATACATACCTTCAAAAAAAGTTTGCGGTTGTCTGGTAACTTTTTCATAACCTCCCGTAAAAGGTTCCAGTTTCCTGGTACGATCCGAAATTCTTTGGGACTTCTGTGGTAAATGTGGAAGTTTTCGGAGTTCATTTCGAACATCGTTACCATTTGGTCCCGCGCGAATTGTTCTAGTTCGTCCTTCAAGTTCTCTGAAGCATTCTTCAACACGCTGTCATAGCCAGCAGCCGTAATAAGTTTTTTTAAATAAAGAGGAATTGGATCGTTTATAATCTCCTCAACAACTTTCCAAAACAAAGCACTTTCACGATTAAATTCTTGCGCAAACGCGTCCATTTTTTGTATTTGATTCGATTGCATGCAAACGCTCAAACTCGCGCCCAAACTCAATACTTGTGCGCATAACATGGACTATATACAATTCAAAGCGTATTGGCGTGTATTGAAATCTCGATTGACGTATTACAAAAGCAGTACTGATTTATTGATGCATTGACATATTAGTGGTGTATTCGCCTGAAATAAGGTATTTTTGTGCATTTAAATAGAATTGAAATTGAATACTGCATTTCATGTGTATTAATGTAATGTGTGTATTTCACGAATATTTCGAGTATTAACAGATTTTTCAGTATTTTTTTTAAGAAAACGTATTTTCGATTCAGCACACCACCTAGTGATTTGCCCCTCGCTCCCAATATAGTAGCATAGGTCCCGAATAAACGTGCTCAACTTTTTGGCTCAGCTCTGGTACTATCTTCGGTCCCAAGCTAATCGATGCACCCCTCGAAACATAGGAAAATCCGAGGGGAACGACTCTATCTACGATGCAGAAAAGATTGTGTTTTGCTGTGTTTAGCTGCGCGCACGCTGAGTAGATAGAGAGCAGATTGATCACGATTCTGACGATTTCCTGCAAAAAGATGATGCGCGATGCAAGTAGATGCGACAATTGGGTTCTTTAATTTTGAAAAATATATCTGTTCTTATATATCATCTGAAAGAGCTACGTTTTCTAAGCACAACGATATTTTTTTCGAATCCACACACTTTCATCTCGATTTTTAAATCAAGATTTAAAGCAAAATAATAACTTCACTGTTTGACACTAAACTGACAAACTGACAGCTCGTTCCCATACAAAGTGACACCGAGGGGCGGTAATAAGGTGATTTTTGCAAATGTAATCATACTTATTTAAAATAGTTCCAGTGTACCAAAATGGATGAAATGTTGGGTTTGGGTTCCATTTTTAATGCAGATTACGAATATGCATTTAACTTAATACTCTTATGGTGGTAAGCTCCAACCGGTATTATCCTCGGATTAAATCCCGATCAAGAATGTCCGGCTGGTTTGATGTTGACATCAGAGTTAATCAACATAACTCTGAGCAGACATTTTTCAGATCATACAAACAGGGACGGTATTAAAAGTTAATCCGAGTTGGAGCTTACCGCCATTAAAGAACCCAATTGAAAGAAGATTTTTCGAAGATTGATTCGCTAGTGTGAGATTTGTTGAGCATCTAAACTTGAGATTTAGATGTGTCGCCCCCCTAGGGAAAATCCACGAACCCCTCATTTTATCTGTCAAACTTTCATAGCGAATCAAAACAAACATAGTGTAGTACTGGAATTTATACTAGAATGGGAATACGTTAATCGATGTTCTTGGGACCAATAGGCTAGTCAAGTAGTGAGCCAATTTAAAATCGTTAGTTTCGAATTGATTGTTTTGATAGTAGTTTCTACTGCACAATTCCTTTCCGTGTGTGTACGGACAATCCTAATCGGAAAGTTTTAACGTTGCACGCTATACTGGAAGCATAACTTGCACACAAGTTATGCTCTTCACTCGACGGTGAAGCTTTGACAGTTCTAGCGTTTGAAATCATAAGGGTCTAGCTGCGATTACCACAGTGCAGTGAACCAATTTTCCAAAACTATCGCAAAGGTTGTGTTTGCTATCAAAAGCAACATCAAACGCACCGACGTGAATCTAAACAAAAGAGAAAATCGATGAAGGGAATCGATCACCGCAGTTAGGCTTTTATGATTCTGAATGCTAGAATTCTCGCGTTACCTTTCAAATGGATAAAGCTACATTGATCGATTCTCTTCATTGACACTCTCGTCCGTTAATAACTCGGCTCCAAAAACATGTTCAGCTATTATCGTCTAGTACGATTACTAATAGTTTCTTTTAATACATGTACACACTTAAATTTTTTCGCCGAGATTCCAATAGCCGAGCAGTTCTGCAATTTATTTAGCTGAGGTTCAGTAAAACAATTGCCGAGACTCAGCTAACAAACAGATATTTTGCAGATATATCAGCAAAAAGTAAATGCCGAGGTAATCGGCTGTTGGAGATTTTACCGAGCTAGATTAAGTGTGTAGAAAAATTAGCCCGAAATATGAATGCAGCCAAGTTATCAACGAAAGAGAGAGTCGATGAAGAGAATCGATCAATGTAGATTGGTCTATTTGAAAAGTGACGCGAGAATTCAGTGTCAACGTTTCAAAGGGATGTTTATTGCTTTTGTAAACAATAGCTTTAGCCATCGATTTCGCGCGAATATAAGCTCACAAACGAAAATTAATGACACCAAAAGGTAGAGGAATGCTTTCTAAAGCCATTGTTTACAATAGCAAGTACGCCCCTCTGAAATGTTGATTATGAATTCTGTGCCAACATTTCAAAGGGGCGTAATTGCTTTTGTAAACAATGACTTTAGCCGTCAATTTCTCGCGAATGAAATCTTACCTCTCCAAAATTACAATGCTAGCTGGTAAAGGAAACATTCCTCTACCTGGTGGTGTCATTATTTTTCATGAGTGAGCTTTTATTCGCGAGAAATCGACGGAAAAAGCTATTGTTTACAAATGCAATTACGCCCCTTTGAAATGTTGGCACTGAATTATTGATAACGCGATAGCCCCTGCTGTAAACCAAGGGAGGGGAGGTGGCTGTCAAATACGAACAATCGTCGGCTACCTCGCATAACTGGTTCCAAACGTAAACAAGCCATAAGAAACCTACAGCGTTTGTTTACGTTTGGAACCAGTTTCATACAAGAATGATCAGTAGGCTGATTTGACAGCACGTCCCCCCCAGCTGTAAACATGTATGTTGGTTCTCACCCACAGAGGCAGCAAACTTAACAACTACTACTGTAACATTCTAGACAAACAATTGATATAGGCGGAACAACCAAACGTAAACAATGGCTTAATCGGAAATTTCTCGATAATCAAAACACATCCACGTAATCTAACATCACCATCTGACAGAAAAAATTTCCTTTCTCGAATGGTATTGTTAGTTTGCGTGGGTGTATTTTGATTCTCCAGAAATTTTCGATTCAAGCCATTGTTTACGTTTGGTTGTTCCGCCTATTTCAATTGTTGGTCTGGATATCTACTCATATCAAGCTGAACATTGCATTAGGTCCTGAAAAACATTGACAGATTCTCTTCGTCGACTCTTTCTTTGTAGCCCCACGGCCATGTAAAGACATTCGCAGGTATTTTCAGAAGACAGATCGATAAAAGAAGCTTTTATCTAGCATCTAATACGACAAACACAACAAGAAACGGTTATGTGCTCAAATTATTAACGAAAGAAAAAGTCGCCGAAGAGAATTGATCAATGCTACTTAGGACCTAATGCAATGTTCAGCTTGAATCTCTACAGATCGACTGACTGGCCGCTTGAAGGAATCACACGCACCACCCACAAGCGAGCATTATTGGTGGGAACCGAGAGTGGTGAAGGTCGCGAACAAGCTCGTCGTCGAAACAAAGCAAGGCAAAATTATTTAATAATATCAGTGCGGTCCACTGATCTCCGCCGTGCTGTTCGATACGAGCAAAAGTGGGATTAGTCATCTCACGCACTGAGGGGAATACCCCCATCAGAGATTTTGAAGTGTCTGAAAACAGTGATTCGCGATAAAAAAAACTGATTAGTCCTAAGATTGTCAAGAAAACGACCGAGAGAGTGACAGGTTTCAGCCGAAGAAAATTTATTCTACTCGAGGTAAGTAAGTTATAGCGAATTTGTTTACTATCGGGATTGGAACCAGTTCCAACCCAGGGCGAAACCCTTTTTATCAGTGCGAACCTCAACCTGCGGTAGGTTTTAAAAACTGACGTTTGTCAGAAAAAATGCAGACCCAATCTTGATACCCGATTCAGGTTGAAGCCGTTAGATTATAAAAATAGCCTAAGGGTATTTTATACATATTTCCTACATTGCACGAAAAGACGTCACGCCGAGTTGACTATTGTGCGATAGTCAGCAGTAATGTGTCAAGTGGAAGGCATCCTCGTTTCGTTATGAAATTGAGTCTACTTCTTGGGTCTTCCAATCTACGGCAGCGAATCGTGACGGCGACCTTGTTGTTTACACTAGTTCTCTTATTTTTTGCTTCTCCCACTACACAAACATAGGCTTAGTCAGATTTTCTTAACTACCATCAGTAGTTAGATTCGCAGTCAACAAGTGCTGCAACATCATGGATATCTTCATTCCGATCGTAATATTTTTCGTGCTATTCATCTTCTTCACGCTGTGCGGGATGTGCTGCAAGCGACGGCGAGACCAGGGTGCCGTGATAGCCAGTAAGTACCCGTCAACTAATGACGGGAATTCCGATTCCTAACAGAACCCGTTTTCTTTTAGCCCCGGTTGTGATCACGTCCACCCAGCACCATGTGGGCCCGTATCCGGTTCATGTTCACAATACGACTGCGCCCCCACCGGCCGGAGTCGTCATGCAACATCATAACTCCGGAATGGGAGTCTACCCGATGCCACCGGCACAAGGCATGCAGCAGCCGTTGTCAGGGTAAGTAAAATTCGCGTAATGAATGATTAACTCCCACTGATAAACGATTTGCCTGCATTGCCTTAGAAAACAAAAGTGCTATTTTAGCAAAGTTGTTCACTAATACAAATGGGAGCTACGAAAGCGATAAGGCTCTTCGTTCTTTATTTGTGCCACCATCACATGCGAGTTTACTTGTGGTAGAGAGTGAGTACGCGAAGCCATTCAGCGCAATCAGATGGTCGCAAATGAGTTCAATACTTAATTGACAGGGCAGATTTTCAGGCTAGTTAGTGTACTTTGCCGGGCAGTGCAAGGGTGCTAGGTATAAACGCGCGATTACAGTTTGTTTAACGATAATTCCTATCAGCAATAATAGCGATCTCATGTGAATCGATTCATTTACTGCCGGGAATTGTTGGTATTTGAGGAAGAAATAGTTGCAATTCCTGTTTTGGGATGGAGGAACAAATCAGATATGGTAACATGTTTCTTTATTAAGCTAGAGCTTGAATTGTTCTGTGATTGATAGGTGGTAGAGTGTCAGTTTGGCTTTTTTGATTGCGTCGATGACTCATTGCAGAGCTATGAGCTGTGAAATGATTAATGTAGGTCTCATGAAATTGAGATGAAACTCTTCTCTTTTGGTTCATCTTTTGTTTTTTTTGTTTTTACGTCCCTGGGCTTTGGCAAAACCTTGAGATAGTTTAATTAGGCTACCAGGTCCCAGGGCTGATCTGGATCTTTACCACATTGGAAAGATGCACACTAGTGTTGCCAGATCAGTGTTGATGCTTACCAAAAGTGAATTTGGACCCGCTTATAAAAGCATATTAACAGATTAATCATCACCGTACATTGTTTATTGCTCTGTACTAATAATAAATGATTAAGCACAGCATTTGATATTTTAGTAGGAATGCTGGATTTAGTCACAGTAGAAATCATCTGCTTTTTTTTATAAATCTTTTATTGAATTGAATTTATTTCACGTTTGGAAAGTATCATCACAAATATTCTGCACTCGATCTACAGCTTGTGGGCGGGAAGCGTTGTTTTTGTTATTTTTTTATCTATTTAGTGACTCTACTTCTTAGAAATACGAAGCGAAAGACAAATCAAGAATTAAGCACAAGACCTTCAAGAAAACTAACAACACGAAGTCTGAAAATGGCAATGTTTCATTCAAAACGTCAAGTATTTCAAGAATATCGGGTGAGACCAATCTAAGTGTATTTAATCTTATTTTTGTGTAGTAGGATATTCAATTGAACCACTCCGGGTTATTATGATGCTGTATGATCTTTTAAGCATTTTTCCTAAATTTTGGGATACAAGGGTTTAAAAATTATGAAATCATAAAACAAGATTTACAGGTATTGCAAAACATGGTCCTCTGTACGTTTACTTCCCAACTTTTACTAATACTACTGTTACTCCGACTATCCCCTACTTGAAACACTATTCCTCCCTATCCGGCATCTTAAGATCTTAAGGTTCAATTTACTTTGATGCTTTTTGGAAAATTTCAAAAGCAGTTTTTTCTGACGCATTATTTCAGATTGCAAAAAGCTCGCACTATTCGATTCCTTTTGATATTTTACACAAAATGACGCGAGCTTTTTGCAATCTAAAATAATGCGTCGAAAAAAACTGCTTTTGAATTTTTTAAAAATGCATCAAGGTAAATTGAACCTTAAGCAGGATTCAATTGATCCCTGTTATTATTATTCTATGGTGCCAAATCTTTACCTCTACCCTTGTGCCGTATGGACAGTGATGTTTTACTGGAGACCTGGCCCTATGACCTATAGTCGCTATATTCATAGTCTGGCGGATAGAATTTCGATCTACCAAAATGCGGAACCAATTCAATATATTGTAGACCAACTATTGAAAAGGTACTATCAACTATTATAAACAAAACGTTGATTATTCTTTCCTCGCCAATCGAACGCAAAATACCAGCATCGTCGGATAGGGGAAACTTTCCTCAACCCAAAGATGGTGTCAGTTTGCGTAGGCAACTTTGAGTCACGAGAAAATGGTTTCCGAAGTTTTGTTCGCAATAGCTGATGTGCTCTTTTCTGTTGTTGGTCTTGATTTGCTCGATTGGTTCCGCTATTTGACAGCTCAATTGGTTCCCGAGATTCTATCCGCCAGACTATGAATATAGCGACTATACTATGACCCCCTTCTGTGCTTGAAAATGAAAATGAAAATGAAATCTTTTGTTTTTGTTTTTACGTCAAACATCATGCAATGCATGGCATTACCATTTTATGAAGGAGACGCGTGGTTCATGCTGGAAATATGCCCTGATCAATTATTATTCTAACGAGACTTACTAACAGTGCTGTCATGGTAAATTTTGAGCTGCTCACTCACTAATTTTTCGTAAGTGCGCACCCCGATTACCTCAAATCCCTATCAAGAGCACACTTAATTGAGTTCCTTAACCCTTTGTACCTTTAAAAAAAATAATGCTAAGTTCATTGCCAAAATCCTTCAGAACGGGTATTAAATAAAATTCGGAATATGTCTCAACTAAGAGGCAGACTTATCAAGAATACTTTAGCCTGGGATCATATTGTCCCCAAGATAAAGATAAATTTATGGGTTTTTAACATCATCTGAACTGCCGATCTACGCATAAGAGTCCCACGGTGCATAAAGATTGCATAGAACATGGGACAGTTATGCATATAACGGTAGTGAAAGAACTCGTTTTCTGAGCACAACGATATTAAAATCAAGATTTAAAGCATAATAATACCTTTTTTTTTTTTTTTTTTTTTTTTTTTTAACTCTTTATTTGTTACAAATTCAAAATAAATTACATTTCATTTTAACCTAGGTGCTCCAGTTACTGCAGTAACGTACCAGCCTTAATTGTTATGATATATATCTAAGTGTTTTTACATTGTTCATGTCTTGGCAATTCAGTATTTTAAACAGGTTTTTTAACCTGCATGTCAGTATAACAATTGATATCTTAAAACTAAAAACTAAAACTAAATCTTATCTAAGTATAAAGGGAATTAATCGTCGCAATTGAGGATTGCAACGATTTTTGCCTGAAATTATTAATTATTTTGTTGGACATTTGTTCTAAAGTCTCAACATTCGAAATTCTATGTACTTCGGTAGTACTGTACCAGGGAGGCAACTTCAAAATCATCTTCAGAACTTTGTTCTGTATCCTTTGAAGTGCTTTTTTTCCTGGTAGTGCAACAACAAGACCATATTGGCACAGCGTAAAGCATGGCCGGTCTAAAAACTTGTTTAAATATTAGAAGTTTATTCGTCAGGCAAAGTTTGGATTTCCTGTTTATAAGAGGATACAAACATTTTATATATTTGTTACATTTGGCTTGAATGCCCTCAATGTGATCTTTAAAAGTTAATTTTTGGTCAAGTATTAATCCAAGATATTTCACTTGGTTTGACCAGGAAATTGGAACTCCGTTCATAGTGACTATGTGACTACTACTAGGTTTCAAAAAGGAAGCTCTAGGCTTATGTGGAAATATTATAAGTTGAGTTTTGGAAGCGTTGGGAGAAATCTTCCATTTTTGTAAATAAGAAGAGAAAATATCTAAACTTTTTTGCAGTCTGCTGCAAATAACACGAAGACTTCTTCCTTTAGCGGAAATGCCTGTGTCATCAGCGAACAAAGATTTGTGGCAACCCTGAGGCAAATCAGGGAGGTCCGAAGTGAAAATGTTATACAATATAGGCCCAAGAATGCTACCCTGAGGAACTCCTGCCCTAACAGGTAGTCGATTAGATTTGGAATTTTGATAATTTACTTGAAGAGTTCTGTCAGTTAAATAATTTTGAACTAATTTCATAATATAAAGTGGAAAATTAAACTTTTTCAATTTAGCAATCAAACCTTCATGCCAAACACTGTCGAATGCTTTTTCTATGTCTAGAAGAGCAACTCCAGTTGAGTGGCCTTCAGATTTGTTTGAACGAATTAAATTGGTAACTCTTAAGAGTTGATGAGTAGTTGAATGCCCATGGCGAAATCCAAACTGCTCATCTGCAAAAATTGAGTTCGTATTGATGTGAAGCATCATTCTATTCAAAATTATCTTTTCAAAAAGTTTACTTATTGAAGAAAGCAAACTTATTGGACGGTAGCTAGAAGCTTCAGCTGGATTTTTATCCGGCTTCAAAATTGGAACAACTTTTGCATTTTTCCATTTATCAGGAAAGTATGCCAAATGGAAACATCTGTTAAATAATTTTACCAAGAAAGACAAGGTACTCTCTGGGAGTTTTTTGATGAGGATATAGAAAATTCCATCATCACCTGGAGCTTTCATATTTTGAAAATTTTTAGTTATAGACCTTACTTCGTCCAAATCAGTCCCCCAGGAATCATCAAAAATATTTTCCCGAGAGAAAATATTCAGAAAATCCCGAGCAACCTGATTCTCAATAGGACTAGTAAGACCCAAACTGAAATTATGGGAACTCTCGAATTGCTTAGCAAGTTTCTGAGCTTTTTCCAAATTTGTGATCAAAATTTTACCACCTTCTTTAAGCGCTGGAATTGGCTTTTGAGGTTTTTTCAAAATTTTTGTGAGTTTCCAAAAGGGTTTGGAACTCGGGTCTAATTTAGAAATATTATTTTCAAAAGTTTTGTTCCTCAGGGCAGAGAATCGCTTTTTAATTTGTTTTTGCAAATCCCGCCAGATAACTTTCATGGCAGGATCGCGTGTTCTTTGATATTGTCTCCTACGGACATTTTTAAGACGGATCAAGAGCTGAAGATCATCGTCTATTATAATTGAATCGAATTTAACCTCGCATTTTGGTACTGAGGCAGCTCTTGCTGCAACTATAGAAGTAGTCAGAGATTCAAGAGCATAATTAATTTCATCTTTGGTTTGCAAAGGAATGTTTGGATCGAAGTTATATTCCATAAATGTTCGATACTGCTCCCAATCAGCTCTATGGTAATTGAAAGTAGAGCTGTTGGGATTACAAATTATTTCTTGGGATATTTC